GGGTTTAGGGCTTAGGGTTTAGGGTTTCAGGGTTTGGGGCTTAGGGTTTAGGGATTGGGGTTTAGGGCTGCAGGGTTTGGGGCTTCAGGGTTTAGGGCTTAGGGTTTAGGGTTTCAGGGTTTGGGGCTTCAGGGTTTAGGGATTGGGGTTTAGGGCTGCAGGGTTTGGGGCTTCAGGGTTTAGGGATTAGGGTTTCAGGCTGTAGGGCTTAGGGTTTAGGGTTTCAGGGTTTGGGGCTTCAGGGTTTAGGGTTTAGGGCTTCAGGGTTTAGGGCTTAGGGCTTCAGGGTTTAGGGTTTAGGGCTTCGGGCTTAAGGTTTAGGGGTGTAGGGTTGTAGGGCTTAGGGTTTAGGGCTTAGGGCTTAGGGCTTCAGGGTCTTGGGGATTTTGGGGTCTTGGGGATTTTGGGGTCTAACGTTTCAGGCTTTACGGGGCTTCAGGCTTCAGGGTTTTCGTAAAGGGTCTATAAAGGTTTCAGGGTTTAGGGCTGCAAGGATCAAGGCCCTAAACGGGGGGGGGGGGGGTTCTGGACCCAACCCTAAACCCTAACCCTAAACCCTAAAAGGTTTTTTTTTTTTTTAGGGTTTAGGGTTTAGGGTTTCTGGACCCCATATGCCATTGCGCGAACTCTCGAATCCAAACCCTTGCAAATCGACACCTGCGCATAGAAATCCTCTCGCTGAGCATACCTGCCGCGAACCAAACTCCTAAACCCTAGCACTGGCCTGTTTAGGGTTTAGGGTTAGAGGATCTATAAATGATACGTCACTGTGTCATGCAACCTAGTCCCCAAAACCCTCCCCAAGCCCCAAACATCCCAAACCCTGAAGCCTTGCTAAACAAAAACCCTAACCCCTAAGCATCCCGCAACTCCGAAAGCACCGAGCACTAAACAAGAATTCTTTCTCGGCCCTTAAAACCCCAAACCCCACCTAAAGCCCAACAGCAGCGAAGTCTTACCTCCCGGGACGGTCGCTCCGCGGGTGGCGCCGGAGAGCGACTGACCTTCTGGCATTCGGTGCGTGTTATTCGACACTTATCAGTAACCCTAAACCCTAAACCCTAAACCCCTAAACCCTTGAGGTTTAGGGCAGGTTCGAGGCAAGGCTTCGCGGTTTAGCGTTTACGGCTTTTGGGGGGTAGGACTTGGGGTTGTTACCAAGGCTTAACTAACGGGGTTTAGCGTTTTGTCAGGCTTTTGCTACAAGGTCCATTAAAGGGTATCTATTCAAACATGCAACAAACGTCATGAAGATAGCCGGTGGAAGGATTTAATGGCTCACCCCGTCCGACCAGGCGGCTAGTTAAGAGCTCGCTGCAGCTCCGGAGTCACTCAAGGAGTTCAGAAAGGCTCTGGATTTTAGCGTTGAGGGATCAAGGCTTCGGGGTGCGATTCTAGGGTTGAGGGTTTAGGGTTTAGGTCAAGCTCACCCTTGACAAAAACTCTGCTAAGCAAGCTTGGATGTGCCTGTATGCTCTACTCGATCAGCTTCTCGCTGACGAAACCCTTGACCTACACTCTACACTCTTCCAATGGACCATGCACCCAGCCAGAAACTTTGCGAACCCTGGAAACCCCAAACCCTACACCCAGCTGCCAAACCCGAAACCGAAAGCCCCCGAATCCCTGAACCCTAGACCCTAAACCCCTCAACCAAAAACCCTAAACCCTGAACCCTAAACCCTGAACCCCGAACCCTGAAGAATTGAGAAGCCACATTCTCAGAGGCCCCGGGAACGTCCTGAGATGCAGGCTGCAGTGGAACCTCGGCGGCTTGACGATGGCTTCTGCTCCTGCACGAAAGTCAAGGCTTAGGGTTTAGGGGTTTAGGGGTTTAGCGAGGCAATCATGGGTGCTACAGCTTAAGATAGAAAGGTTGTTGGGATAGGCTATACCATAACTAGAATAAGGAACCCCAAAATAGTTTTGCGCGGTAGTGATCTAGGCCCCTATCACCATCTTGCAATGTAAGGCAAAGTCAGGTGGCCCCTGTTTCGGGCTCCGTAATATATTACCACCTTCTCATGGAGTGTCTACAGTACTACACAAAACCCTGCTTAGGTCCTGATTATAACTTGGGTACTGCCCCCCACACAGTATCAGTCCGTAGTCGTCGCGGGATTAAGGACCTTGCATATCCACAATCTGAATATCATTCAACTGTTCCTAAGTAAGCACAATACAACTCTAACTATCGTACCATCTAAACCCTACACCCTAAACTGTCGAAAGTCCAGTGAACCCGCCCATGAACCGTTAACTCTAAACCCTAAACCCTCGAAAATTCCTTGTTTTTTGGGTGAACCCTCCCATGAATCGTTTCAAGCGTCGGGTTTCCCTGAAGGACCGGGTCGACTTGCTTTAGACCCCTGACGATGTGGGATAAACCCTACTGGTTTAGGATTTAGGGTTTAGGGTTTTACCTATAGTCTGCATTGTCGTTCCTTTTTTTGGTTGAAGCAATTCTATATTCAGGGCTTTATACGGTATTCCCCCAAAAAGGAAGTTACAATGGAGACTCGAGGTAAAACCCCCAAGTCCGAAACCCCAACAGGGTCCAGGGTTTAGGGCTTAGGGCTTATAAGTTTAGGGTTTAGGGGTTTAGGGTTTAGGGTTTAGGGTTTAGGGTTTAGGGTTCCTAGACTGTGCAACTACAAAACCCCAACGCCCTGAACCCTAGAGCCCCAAAGCCTAGAGCCTTGTAACATCGGCCGCAAGGACAGCATTTCGGGGTTTAGGGTTTAGGGTTTATAGGGTTTAGGGTCTAGGGTTTAGGGCTTCGCTGAGGGTGTGGCTGTGGCCGAGAGGCGTCTACGGCTCGGCGACGTCTTCTCTTGCACCTGCGACTGAGAAAAGGGCGCGAGCGCGTGTGCGATTGTGCGCATGCATGTGTGTGTGTGTGTGTGTGTGGGGATTGGAAATTAGACTATATAGCTTTGTTTCGACAAGGTTGCTTGCTCCAGAAACTGGTTGATAACCCACCAAGAAACTTGCTCCATCCGAAACTGTGCTTCCACTGAGCCACCCAGAGATAACCTATCCGAAACTGAATTGCCACTGGGAAAACCTGTCCGAAACGATATTTCTACGAGGAACCTCGACAAGCCTTCATGCAGACCTCTCGACAACACCCGTCGACACCATCTGCAACCCTCAGCCCACAAACAAAAGCACGATACATGCCACCACAGATGGAGCTAATGTATAAGACCCTAACCCCTAAACCCTAAACTCTAAACCGTATTATAGAAGCTTAATAAATTTGCCAACACTATTCCATAGGATTCCTTATTGTGCCTATACTTCAATATGCCCCCAAACCCTATTCAAACCAAAAACGATAATTGTGCAACGCTTGGCTACGACTGCATAGAACCCGGAACCGATCTTCTCTTCCCTGCAACCGTGGCTTGGCTTCTGCTTTGGATCGCATGGTGTTGCTTTTCTCTCGGCTCATTTCTAGAGCCGCGTCTCAGCCGATGGTCTCTGCTTCACTTGGGGGTTTAGGGTTTAGGGTTTAGGGTTTATGGCTTAGTGGTTTAGTCCAAGGTTTAGGGTCCGAGGTTTATAAAGACGGCTTGATCTGATGCTTGTCCGTGGTCGAGATCGGCAGCGACGCGATGTCGAAGAAGAGAAGAGGAAAGTCAGGCTTCTGCGTCCAACCCGGAAGCAGCATGACTGATCTTGAGCAGGACTCTGTTCTGAAAGATGCCGTTGCTGACTCCATCGTACACCTCATGAGCCTATATTTCCCGAAGGATCGGGGTACTGGCTAAGTAGCGAATGACTAGAGTTCTGCGTGAATTCGGCGATGACCACCACCACTGCTGCTGGTGTAGCCGGCTGAGAGTTCGATTTGGGCCAGAGTGTGCTGCCCCGTACACCTTCGTGGCGTGGGGTTTCGAGCTTAGGATTTCTACTGCGCATAGAGTGGCACTAGAAACCCTGCCTGAACCCTAAACCCCTAAACAGAGACTCAACACCCCATGGAGGCTTACGCCTGCCTCTGCGGTGGAGGTACGCCGGCTGCTAAGATCCTGTCCGACGCAAGAACACAGCACATTGTCGCTTGGGTTTAGGGTCATAGGGTTTAGCGTTTAGGGTTTAGGGGATGAGGTTGGGTGTTAAGTGTCGGTCTGAGGTTTGAGCTTGTACCTGCATGGCATAACTGCGAAATTGAGCCCTAAATCCAAAAGCCCGCATTCTAATTTTGCAAAACTTCAACCCCCAAAACTCCACGCTCATAATCCCAGAACATCCCGAAACCTCGAACGCAACTAAGTTGGCCCCTGAAAAGAACGGGCTGCTTCCCTTCCTGCCTTCTTCCGCTCCTCAGTTTCGACTGCAGGGTCTTCTGGAGGATTAGGGTTTAGGGTTTAGGGGTTTAGGGCTTAGGGGTTTAGGGTTTATAGGGGTTTAGGGTTTAGGGTTTTAAGGTTCAAGGCTTAGGGAGC